AAAATCATCAAAGCTAATATGAATTTATAAAGTGAAGAAAGGTAAAAAGTTTTAACTTTATGAAGAGGATAATGAAGTTCAAAACTATTAAAGGCTATCCAGATATAGTAATTCTCGCTTAAAAAAGAAAATAAAAGGCAAGATTGTAAAGATTTTGAATTAAAAAAAAAGAAAAGAAAAAAAAAGAAAAAAAAAAGAAAAAAAAAGCAATGTGAGAAGAACTTTGAGGAGATGCCTAATCAAAAATTGGCTTCACTTAAATCAACTTGAGAAAAAGGCTTTATTATTTTTTTGAACTTGTGATTGAGTATTAGACCCTCACTAGTAAATTTTTCATGAAATTCTATTTCATATTGATATTCTAAGTATCCGTGATATAACAAATTACAATTCTTCTAGAAATGAATGGAGATTCAGAAATCTTTGATTTTGATTGCTTAGTATTCTTATACTTATAGTTTTAATCTAAGTTATTAAAAGTTTTTCTTAAAATATACTATTTTATATATACTATTTTATTTCTTAAAATATACTATTTTATTTATTAAACTAAAGTATAGAAGTTTATAAGTTAATCTGTATCCTAAGTAATATTTTTATGTATTAAAAAAGTCACTTAAGGACATGTTTAAGTTTGGGAGATTTTGACACACCTAAAAATTATCTACTTTTTAATAAATATTTTATGCTCAATTTTAATGATTTTTAATGATATTGTACTTTAAAGGAAGAAATTTTGAATTTTTTTTGCTTTCATGTACAAGAAATGGACTTTTGGAGAAAATGAATCAAGAATGGTGCAATTTGGAGTAAAAACGAGCAAGAAAGAAAATTTTGATTTGACACATTTCGATATATTTGGCACATTTCGATATATCTTTCTATGCTTAATACGATTTAAATCTCTCAAATATTTTGAATAAAATTACACTTTAAAGAAATGTTATTTTTATGCTTTTTTTGTAGGTATATCTGTTAGGAGCGAAACACAATTGAAACGAGGGGAAACAGAGCTGAAACGGAGCCAAACGGAGCAAAAATGTGGAGCTACTGCAGGGTGGTGCCTAAACCACCAAAAAGGGCACCTGAAGTGCCATTTGACAGAGAGCTGGCACCTAAAGTGCTAAATTTGACACCAGATGCGCCAAAGACGACTTTTTGCTGATTAAGGCAGTTTGAGATGAATTTTGCATGATATTTGAAAGGGACACTTTTTCTAAACACCACATGGAGTTATTTAATGCATCTAGACACTTTGGAAGGTTGTTTTATGAAGGGATGTGTCATTTAGATCAATATACATGTCTTTTGAATTCAAAAGGGTTAACTTTTGGACAGAATTTCAGAGGGAATTTAGAATTTTTTTTGTGGGAGGCAATCTCTAATAAAAGAGAGGGAAATCTAGTTATGTGTGCGTGTATGTGTGTGGCATGAGCGTGAAAAAGAAGACTTTGGAGAAGAAAGGATTTTCTTCAAGGGTTGTAAGAGGAGAGGGAATGTGAGAGATTTCTTCTCATTATATTTCTAGGATAGAATTAAGTGTGATTGTAAGGAAAGAAAGTGCTTAAAGGGAACTTCTAGGGATTCGCTTGGGAATGAGTGTGAGATAAGTTGTTTTTTTTTCTTTCTTTGTTTTGTTAACTTATTTTTACATATGAAATCCTTGTTTTGTCGTATCATTCTCATGAATTCTGAGTAGTCTTTTTTATCCTTCTCCCTATAACGAGTTTGGTTTTGTGAAGAATTGACTTTTATTCATACGTTTTAAATGTCAAAAATTTGTGATGATTTAAACACTGATCTTCATTAACTTTTTAATTTGGCCAATTGAAAGGTCAAAATGTGTTGAGAAACATATGATCCTAAATGGCTTTGATTTCTACAACATAGTGAAAATCACATTCGATTCCATGGGAGAGGATGTCATCCATGGGGTTTATTGCAAATAAATAGAGAAATACACTTTATTGGATTCATAATTGGAGATTTTAAGCTGACAGAATAAAATTCCTAATTTGGTCCAGTTGATTGGAAACTAATGCGAGATTATTAGCCCTCAAATGAGGGAGTAGTGGGAGCTCTAGAGTGGCAACTGGTATCCTCCCAACCTAAACACGAAATTGTGGACCAAACTCTGAATTAGTTAATGTTTTTTATGCACTTGGAAGTGGGTGGAAATTGTGGACCAAACTCTGGATTAGTTAATGTTTTTTATGCACTTGGAAGTGGGTAAAGAATGTGATTGCTCCTATTTTACACAAAATAATTTTATATATTTTCAAATGATTTTAATTACTTCACTAACCATGTACTCATTATAAAAGGGAATGATATATTCTTAAATTTGAACTCTTCGTCATAAAACATTGTTTAGACTTAGTAAATTTAACTTTGAAGTTTAGAAATTAGTGTACTAAACTTAGTTCTTTTAGTTACATTTTTGTTAGCATTAATTAAAGTCATTTTAACTTGTCTTTCTTACATTAATTTTTATAGGTTGAATAATGTCATAAGAATTTTCATCTTCCAAACAAAGACTTGATAATAATAGACTAAAATTAGCCTAAGAGATTTCTTACTGCGCATCTCTGTGGGATCGATGTTGGGGTTTTTAAAGAAAGCTCTATATTACTTGAAGCAATACTTGCACTTGCGTTGAAACCCTAGTGTGTGAACTATTTTATATATTTTATATAGCATTTTGACTTTAAACATTATATTTAATATAAATTGGGTCAAGCTTTTTGCCATGTATTTTAAAGTAAAATTACTGCATAAATTTTGGGACGGGTCGTGTTTTTGGCATTGTTACCGGAGATTTAAATCTACATAAAACACGCAGAAAAAACAGTACACACTATGGGTGCATCAACTACCCTTCTTCCTGTTTTTTCATTTGAGGCGGCCTGAAAATCTATCGATTTCAGCATCTCGCCACTTGAAGGACAAATCCTTGAGGTTAGAAGTTTGAAGGCCCTCATCAAAGCTTCCTCGTTTACAGGTTTCATGGCGCCCACGTTTCTCGTCCCTTGATAAAAACGATTGAATGTCAGAAATCTTGAAAAAGAAGAGGGGGAATGCTAATAATGCCAAATGTATAGGGATTAGCGGCATAAAAATCTAATGAGTTCCATTTTTGGAAATATTTGTTACACAATACATAAACAATCTTTTTATCTATTTCCTTTTTTGTTATTGCAGTTGTCACTTTCAAAGAAAAAAATCGAAGATTTATGCACAACGAGAATGTGACTGCATGAATCTCTAGAAAATTTAATGGATCACAAGGGATCTAGCCATCAACCATCGTTTCGATTGGTCGACACATAGGCTGACAAAATGGGGGTTTGTCCGAACAAAAGAACACCATGCATCTAGACTGACAACTTAACCGACGCAAGAGCACTCATAAGATCAATGGTCACTTAACGGAACTCCCCACCCGGTCTTTTATGAAAGATCTCTCAACAAAAGCAAGGCTGCCCATAGGATTATGAGGATGCACAATCTATCAGATGGTATAACCCTTCCTAAGGATAATGGGTCTTCATGACAAACACCCTTAGAGAAGCCGACCAAATATCTTTCAATCGAGCAAATGACTTTTACAGACCGAGTGAAGATAGAGCAACAAAGTTGACCAATTTGAACAATTATGAATATAAAACAACTCCAATATCAATTAAAAACACCGAGCGTCTCTAACAACGGTTACTAGGGTGAATAGATTTCAAAGTCAATTATAAATATCTAAAAGCATAATCGCTCATAAATTCATTGTAATGTTTCTCTTAGGTGAGAGACAATGATGTAATGTAGCAAACACTCCAGAAGATTTATTAACAAGTGGGTCATTCCACAACAAGGACTACTAAATCCATTCCAAGAAAATTAATATTATTTATTGTTTACTCTCCTCCCTTTACCCATATTGGTTCCTCTAAGCAATAAGCATGACCAAAAGGGCATTTTGAGATTCAATTTACAAAGTTGTGGCATTTTCATATTGAAAAATGATTATGCTTTATCACCATGTGGATTCTATCATCTATGATTGTTACTAATTCTTTAAATCCTTTGTAATTTAACTCATATCAAAATAGGTTATAGTAATTAGAAACTCAGAGATGTTTACATGGACAATTAAAGCGTTCAACTACCAACAAGGTACACGTATCTATTATTCTATCGTTACAATTAATTAAAATTACTACTTGGTAAACAATATTTTTTCGCTTTCATTAAAATCTCTTTCCCATCAAAAATACAAAACACAATTTCAATAAACGTAGAGCATCATAAAATGACAAATAATCGTAGCGAAATCCAGCCAGAGTTTACTTTTCCTTGGTTGCTCACATCCAAAAATACATGATGCACTGGAATTTCCCAGAGTCTCAAACTCTAATGCAAAATAGATGCCTTCAAGATATTTCATCAAGTTTGGCGCTTTTGACATAAAACTTGGCTAAGAAAAAAAAAACAAACGGATTAACGTTATTTAAGACCAATTATTCCTTATTAACAATAAATATTTAGTTTCAATAATAACATGAAGGATCCGTCACATATTACGACTCTTGCAAACCAAGTTGAATGGTCAAACAATGACCGTGATTCAGGGAAAAAATTTGCGTACATAAGATGTCTAACGAGCTATTTGGTTCTTTGGTCGGCTTAATAAAAGCATATAATAATATGTTGAAACAACAAAAATACATTTTTATAAAATTTAAATACCTGTCATATAATAAATATCACGGTACAAGGCAAAATAAGGAAGAAAAAAGATTAAAATATAGTCATCATCCTTAATTTGAAACAGTATTGTATTATTTAAATAAATGTTATGATTTTCAAAATTAACACCTTTATGCCATTGATTAGATCTTGATTCACAAATTACAGAAGAATCTGGAAAAAACATAATAAAGAAAAACTAAGGTACAAGCCATTCCAAACCACACAAAATTCTATAAAAATATAAGAATAAAGTCGGTAAATAAAAACCAGGGCTGATGAGGTAATTTAAACCCATATAAGAAAATATAAGCCCAAAAAAGAAGGAAAAAGCCAAAACATTTCCGTGCTCATAATGATTAGGGGAAAGGAAAAAAAGTAGGGCTACGGGAAAAAGTCCTCCAGTAAAAAAATATTTACACGTCATGCCATGCGCATTGTATTGGCCTTTAGGAAGCCGCCGAGGGCTGATGGGCGAAAGGATAGAACCGGGGATTAGGGAAGAGAGAAGCAACGAAGGGGACCGGCGGCTTATCAGAACCGGCAGGAGGATTTGAACCGGCAGTGGAAGATGGGTTTGTAGCGGCTGTTGAGGAAGAATTGGAGGATACGCGCTCGCAGGAGGGGCACATGGAGAGAGTGGTGGCAGGAAGCTGCATGTAGAAGGGTTGTGAGGACTTGAGGGCTCGGAGTTCGGATAACTCCTTTTGAAGCCGACGGTTTTCTTCCGTAAGAGTTTCACAGCACCGCTTCAACTGTTCGCAGTCCAGCTCCGTTTGTTTCAGCTTAGTTCTGCGCCCATTCCAATATGTATATACTTGTTAGATTAGTTAATCTAGACATAAAAGCTATCTGTTTGCAGAATTAAAATGAAGTCTTATACTTGTTAGATTAGTTAATCTAGAAATTTGATTAAGATAGCAACAAACATACCGTGCACGACGATTTTGAAACCAAACTTCAACCTGCCGGGGCCGAAGATTAAGCTGCTTAGCAAGAGCAAGCTTCTGCTTCTGATGCCATAAACACAAGAGTGAGATAAATCTTCAATAGATCAAAAATTAATGGATGAAACAATAACTCAAACTGAGTCGAAATCATACCGGGTTGAGGGTGCTGTGCTCCTTGAAGCTCTCCTCAAGGAAAGCGGACTGCTCCTTGGAAAGTCGGAGCTTCTTCCTCGACCCGCTGTTGTCCTCCTCGTCGCTCGCCCTTGACGACGACCTCTCCATGACCGTCGCCGCAAGCCCAACTCCACCACCAAAGTCCACATGGAAGGATGAAGCTGCACTGTTCGGTGATGATGACACGGCAGCCGTGTCTTCCGCTGATGGAGCCTGGTTCGCATCCAAAACCCGAGCTGTGACCTCCAAACTCCCTGTTTTTGCCGAAATCTAAAATTAGAAGTTAAGTATATCGAAATACGGAAGTAAGACAGTGATGACATGAAAGGGCAGGCTTATAAACATAAAAAGGGCGGGGAAATTGAAAAGATCGATCCATGTTTCCGCATCATTATTGAATAACAATCTAAAGAAAAAAAATTTATCTTTTCATTACTTACTGTCCTCCGTCGACCATGGAAACCCCATTTCATGGTGAGAAAAGGGAACAAGGGGGAGAAGGTTAAGCTGAACCAAAGAATCCACAGACCTTCTTGTCTCTGTCTCGTCCAGCTCTAAATTTTTCTCTCCAATCTCTTCTTCATTTTCTTCGCATCTTCCGTCTCGCCCAACTCCTACCTCCATGCAAAATCCCAGCTTCAATTTGGTACTCGGCCCTACGCCGCCGATAATCTTCTCCGCTGGCCTGGCCGGCGGCTCTCCCAAGCTAAGCCCCAGCTCCATCTCTGAACGATCAGAACAAAGCACAGTGTAGAAATAAAGGGGCGGGCAATGACGCGAAAGGTTGAACAGAGGAGACCGTTTATAAAAAGCCTTAGAAGAATATAAACAGAGGGAGAGCGTTAGGAGGGATTAAATTGATGGCTTGTTCGGATGAGTTTGACCGACAAATCCAGGTTGACAAAACACACGTGACCCGCAAAAGGGTAGCAAAAGCGATTTAAAAACCATAAAACAAAAAGAAAAATTGTTGATTAAACATTAAAACAGCTTTTTACACTGAACGCTAACATCATTATTTTCATATTCATGGCATTATTATATTGACTCTTAGCTCGACTAGATAATTTTATTACCTTATTAAGATTGTTTTGCAGACCGACCCACCCTGGTATTTTCGCAGCGAGGGGACAAATGACGGACACAGATATTAATGTTGGAATCGCAAATTATTATATTGTTGTCTTCCTTCTATTTTAAATGCTTTTGTAGTGTTGCATTAAAAAAATACATTTACTTCGAGGACAATAGTGGCGAGGCGGGACAAATAGGCAACAGGTTGGGTCACTGGCTGTAATCATAGATGATGATAGCAACTGTTGCATGCAAAGTTTGGGCTTTGGGCTGGATTTAAATGCTGCTAATTTTCTCATAGTTGAACGTACGGGTGTAAATCAGTCCTCTGATTTTTGTTTTCTTTTGTTTCATTTATTTAATATTATTTATGTTTGAAATAAATTTTATTGGATAGCTTGTGAAAGTCATATTCAAGCCCAAATTAATTTAAATTTGAAATCGCTGATTACATAAACTTTTATATTTTTTATTTCAATATTTGACTTACAATAAAATTTTTACGCTAGTTTAGCTCGAGTTCGGCTCGAATGTGAGTTACATAAACTTTTATAATTTTTATTTCAATATTTGACTTACAATAAAATTTTTATTTTAGTATATTTCTAAAATAAGAAATATGAACTCTTTTCATTACCTAATCACAAATAAAATTTTTATTTTAACATACTTCCAATATAAGAAGTGAATTCTTCCCATCTCTTAAACTTTTATTTTGCTACGACTATTATGTAGAATTTCTAATTGGAATTATTTCTCAAATAGGAGATGTGGAACTAAAAGAAGGGGTGGAAAAGATAGACATTTTCATATGTACCACATAATTCATATGTATTTACTAATATATCACATAAAGAAAATATGCTTTCTGGGAAAATATCTTGACATTTAGGGTGTGTTTGCCGCAGCAGCAGCTTATTAAAAAGCTGTTGATAAGCAGTTGCCGCAGATAAGCTGTTGTGTGGCAGTGGATCCTGATAAGCTAACTGCTATTTAGTTTTTGTTGTTGGTAAATTACTGTTTTGCAGTTATTTCTGGATAAAGAGCATTCGTCCCCTGTGCATCAATGCTGTTTGAAACATAACTATCACAACAATATATTTGATACTTGAGAAGCAAAAATCCACTTCATAATAGTACAAAAAATATAATATGCATCTCACCTAACAATGGGTATCAAGAATGTTAAAGAAAAGGGAAAATTTTTTTAAAATAACATTTAAAATGTGATAATATTAGTTTTAAAATGTTGACGGCTTATGTCACTAGTTATGTCATTCTCCAGAAATATCAACCAACCCCAATCATTGTCAGTAGTGGAACCTGACTGAGTATATGTCAATCGGAAGCTCTGTGATTCTCCACGGGCACCTGTAGAACTGTCTTTCGTAGTTATGTGTCTGATGCGACGTCAGTATGAAAGTCTGAAGTACGCAGAAATAGAGCAATCCTCGTGAGATACCTAAATCCATTAATCATTACACATGTATATGACATGAGCAGTAATCAATTACAGATTTATGCGGGCACAAACTCAGACAACTCAGTGCACGAATCCCACCGAACTTATTACCACAAGTAGACAGCATACTTTATAAAATAAAGGTTCTTAGTTGCCTTTAGCTTGCTCAATACCAAACTCATATGTGTCACATATGCATATCACAAAAAAGGCCATCTAGAAGTACTATAGAAACCGTACCATCGAAAAGAAGAGAGGAACTTGGTTGCCTTTATCAGATATTCACATGTGAACCAACCAATGGCGAATAACAAAACAAACCATTTAGAAGAACACACAAGGTCAAACGTCTCATCATGGACCTCACAAAGCCACAAACAAAAAATGAAAAATAATTGAAGAAAGAGAAAAAAATTACATATAACATTCAACTTACAATATCTAAAATATCAATAATACATGAAAAATAAAATAAATATGAACTTTATAAGTCAGAATTGTCCAATCAATATCCAACTATGGCGTCTCCAATCTACTTTCACAAGTCAACCATTTATGTTGCACTTTCACCATCCTGACTGCACCCTTCCCGTGACTCTGACTTTGTCTATGGTATAAATTGACCATCATGAAATTCAAATGCTTCTGATGGGACCTGTATGTGATCATCGTCAGCCATGCTGAAGTCTACAACCGTTCAATAATGATGTCATCAAATGCAGTTGTGGAACAACATTGTAGACACTAAAATCAGAACCTATTTTGGTAATGGATATAATGGCATATCACACAGTATGACTCATTTATTCTCTCACACTTTGAACTTTCTTTTAGTTATGTTGCGTAAGAAGGAGTGACTTTTATTAAACATGCCTTCTCTCCTACTAGCAACTCTGCTAGATCTTTCAAAATCAGGAATGTGATATTTTGTATATAGAAATGGCTTCAGATACTCCCTCTATAAGGGATATCTGATGCTGGTTATTTATGTGTTATAAATGTCCACACAAGGCAGCTATACTAAAAAATATGAAGATTAATCATAATAAAATTTACTTTAGTATAATAAGTTTTATCCTTTAAAATATCTAAAGCTACAATTCCTAGAGAGTTAAGGTGTTTTTTCAATATCAATTCGTCACTAAATTGCAAAGGCATGTATACGTATTGCTCAAGAAATAAAGGGATCAAATGAAATTCTAAGTATCAATCCCACGGGGAGGTGAAAATTTGTTCGGAAAATCACACAAAAGCATGATATTTAAACTATAGAAAACTTGAGTGTTAAAATTTGTTTAATGTCACTAAACAAACTAAGTTTACTACACTAATCTCTAAACTTCAAAACTAAATTTACTAAAGCTAAACTTGGTTTTATAATGAATAGTTCAATTTTAAGAAAGCATCTTTCCCCTTACAATGAGATTATATTTAGTGAATTATCAAATTGAGATAAGTTTTATTGTGTCAAATATGAGCATCTATATTCTTTGTCCCTTTTACAAGCGATGAAGAATATTGGCTAATCCATTGTTTAGTCCCTAAATCCGTGGTTAGACTAGGAAGATACTGGCTCTCACTTCAGAGTTACCATATTCCCCTCGCCTGAGGGCTAACATCTCGCTTTAATTTCTAAACTCCTGGACTAAATTAGAGATTTTATCCTGTCACCCTAAAATCTATAATTCTAGGCTCATTAATGAATATTTTCCTATTTATTTTTGCTCAACCGCATGGATTACATTCTCATCCATGAAATTGAATGTGACTCTTACTTTATTGTGGAAAGCATAACCCTCTCGGATCATATGTTTCACGATAAATATTAACAATTTAATTGGGCAGATCAAAAAGTAAACGGTGTTTGAAGTTTGAATCATCATAAATATGAAAAGAAAATATTGCACAACAATCTTGATTTATCACATGACTCTTTCTCTTTGTAGGGAGAAGAATAAAGAAATCTAGTCAAAATTCATGAGGATGATACAACAAAAGATGAATTTTATATATAAAAATAAGTTTACAAAACAAGAAAGAAAAGTAAAACAACTTAACTTGATCTCTTCCCCATGAAAGTCTCTTGAAGTTTCTTTCAATCTCTTTCTCTCTTTATAATAACACACAAATCTCTCATAGAAATGTAAAGAAGATAAAAACTCCCACTTTCTGTCTCCTCTTATAACACTTAGAGGCACTTGTAACACTCTCCCATAACTTGAAACTCACACCCCACACCTTCACAATCAACACACACCACTTTTTCTGACATAAAAATACTCTTTTATAATGTAGGGACGAATTTCCCAAGAGTCTCCATAGGCACTTCTTCAAAATTCATCCAAATTCAATGCATTTATGAAAGTAACCATCTCTGGCGCCTATGCGTTAGCACCTAGGTGCCTAGGTGCCATTTTCTTTGTATTCTAGCTCATAGACGCTAGTTCAAATTTTGGAAAAAGCCACTTTGGACTCCAAATTTCATACTTCTTTCATTCTTTAAGCTCAAAAAGCCTAGAATTAATATACCTGCAATAAAACATGAAAATACCTTTCTTTAAAATACAATATCACCAAATATAAGCCATAAATATATATAAAAAATTGAATATTTTTTTGGTGTATCAAAATCTCCCAAATTTAACTGTTACTTGTTCTCAAGTAACTCTTTTACTACATCAAATGTACGATCTAAGGTAATGAGCATCACTTAAAAAATTCTATAGTTTTTGTTTTATGAAGAAAAGAGTAACTTTAGAAAAAATTTTATTGACTTAAGGTAAAACAAAAAATATACGAATATCTAGTAGTTCAATCTAAGAGTTTTAGTTTCCTATTCATTTCAAGAATAATTGTAATTTGTTTAAGTAAGGATGCTTAGAAGAACTAAATGAAAAACAACTTCATTAGTAAAGATGATAATACTTTAATATAAGTTTAGAATTGTACTTAAACCTCTGACTTTTAGTTGCTTCAAGTGAAGTCAATTTTTTGTTAGACATCTCCTCAAGCTTTCCCTCACATATATTTTTATTTTTTCTTTTCTTTTTCTAACTTTTTTCTTTTTATTTTCTTTTTTCTTTTCTTTTTCATGTGAGGATTACTATATGTAGATAGCCTTTAATGATGTAGATAGCCTTTAATGAATGATTTTGAACTTCACTATCCTTTTCTTAAAGTTAAAAACTTCATACATGTCTTACTTATCAATTCATGTTAGCTTTGAAAAAAAGTTTTCATAAAGTCTCAATCCTTTCCTTTTATACAACT